GGCCTCGCCTCGCCTCGCCTCAGCCCCTCGGCCCCCCTCAGCCCCGCTCGGGCGGGCGACGCCATGGGCGTAGATTTCGACGTGAAGACTTTCTGCCACAACCTCCGGGCCACCAAACCCCCTTACGAGTGTCCGGTGGGCACCTGCCGTAAGATCTACAAGAGCTACAGCGGGATCGAGTACCACCTCTACCACTATGACCACGACAACCCCCCTCCGCCCCAGCACACCCCCCTGCGCAAGCACAAGAAGAAGGGGCGCCAGGCCCGCACCGCCAACAAGCAATCGCCCAGCCCCTCCGAGACCTCCCAGTCTCCGGGTCGTGAGGTGATGACCTATGCCCAAGCCCAACGGATGGTGGAGGTGGACCTGCACGGTCGCGTCCATCGCATCAGCATCTTCGATAACCTCGACGTGGTGTCCGAGGACGAGGAGGTTCCCGAGGAGGTGCCCGAGAACGGGAGCAATAAGGAGAACACCGAGACCCAGAGCGTCCCTCCCAAATCCGGCAAGCACAAGAACAAGGAGAAGCGCAAGGACTCCAACCACCATCACCACAACGCCTCAGCCGGCACCACCCCCAAGCTCCCCGAGGTGGTGTACCGGGAGCTGGAGCAGGACACCCCCGACGCCCCACCTCGCCCCACCTCTTACTACAGGTATTGTCCACGGCCGGGGCGCGAGGAAGCTCCCAGGCAGCTCTAGCTCCTGCCCTGGGTCTGGAGGCGGAATTGGCCCCGCTTCGTGCAGGCAGCTTGTCCGTGGCTCGTGGAAATGGCCTCTATCTGCCTCTCCCGGGTCCCGCGGAGCTGGCCATCCCAGGGCTTCAGCTTCTCGGAGCTCTGTCTGACGTTGCTCCCTGGTTTTGAGGGGTCCGTGCGCCTGCAGAGCGTTCGGTCGCTGCTTAGGTCGTTGCCAGCAGTTGTATTGCTGTGCTCTTTCCTTGCTGGGACGGCGGGTACAGTTATAACAAAAAATGAATGTGTCTTCCTGCCTTCCCCACCGCTCT